CCCCCCCCCCTCCGCCCCCTCAGCGACATAGGTAGCAGTACTAAAACTGTAGAAAGGTCTCTTTCGTACCCCCAGGTCGCTCCCTCCGCGCCTCTCCTCACTACCTCAGCGCCACCACTCCCTTTCCCTCTCCTCCTTCCCTTTTGCGGTCGTCGCCGCACCAGTAGCCCACTTCCTTCCCTCCCCTTCCCCCCCTCCCCCCCCACCCCCCTTTTCTTGCAGGCGGCCCAGTATTCACCCCTGTCGGTCGTAACCGTATTGTGCCCCGCTCTGCCTGGGCTGCTTGTTTTGAGTGAGAGCGGGGACTTTTCCCGCACTTTATTTCTTGGTATTGGTCATTTCCAGATCGAATATAATCGCTATCTGTTTTTGCCCACTGTGGATGGCCGAATCGTTCCGGCAAATCCACGATGGCTTCTGGACTCTGCACCTTCAGGAAATGTGGATTATCCGTCACCGGTGCCTTATCTGACAGGACTGAACAGAGATGATGGTTCCGAGGTACTTTTGAATAAATATATGTAGAATTTTTGGGGGGGCCATGTTATGGCAGAGTGGATAACGATGGAGTGTTCATGCACTGAGCACCCGAGTACAGTTCCAGGCAGAGAGCCTCATGTGAGGTAAAAGCACGATGATGTTTACTCATCTTTCGGGTCTGACAGCAACTGAAGACAGCAAACAATACTGAGTGCTTTTACCTCCCGAAAATGCTTTTGGCTTCAATTTTTATTAAACTCTTTACTTTTGCGCTTTTGTAAATTCAATTAATCACTTCCTACTGTATCTTCAAGCATCCGCGACAAATGTTTTGGAGTCGATTGAATTGGCAATTGCCAAAATTCTGCAATGGTATTTATTCGCTCTCAGCTTTACCTAAGCATCAGCTTCATAAATTGGAAGGCCCACCAATTTTATAAAATAATTCCCATTCAGAAGCTTTTCCTTTTGCCAACTTTTTTATTTGTTTTTTTCTTTTGCTTTCTCAGTTTTTATTTGCTTTTGCTTTCTATAGTTTTTTTTTTCATCATAGGTAATTGTACGTACTGGGGTCAAGATTTCACGTAGCTCCCCGATAGTGATTTTGAAAATTTTTTGGATCCAGTTTCCAGGGTACCTTTCTGCGCGAATCGCTACGGTTATGGCGTAGCCTTCACGCGCCATTGGTAGCGCATTTAGCAAGAAAACAGAAAGTAGGAAAACGTAGGAAAACGAAGAGAATTCCACCAGCAGGCTGATGATACAGTTTTTATCACAGCAGAAATGAACGGCGCGGTGACTGAGCTCTAAGAAGCTATTAAAATATAAAAGTAAATATTTTGGTGCTTAAATTTTCATGCTGTTTTACAGGTAATCTTGGAGGATCGATTGTTAGGTGAATTTAACGATTTTTTGCTGGTTGATCAGCAGTATCTGAAAAGTTACGTGCTTGAATACGCTTTCCGTCACAATTATACGATGAATCGTGAAGCTATTGCGGAAGCCATTGAGGATCGCTACACGTATTGGCCGGATGCATCCGATGAAAATGCAATTCGGAAACATTTCATCCACGTATGCTTAGTTTGCTCTTCTAGCTACTTATCAGAGTATTTTGTTTGGACGTCAAGGATTAAGTGCTGCCGTATCTTCAGAGATTAAACACCACGGACTGAATCTTCTTGCTGACTTTCAAATATAGTTAAAAAGTGGGTTGATTCTGGTACCGCGTATGAATGTGTCGATGGATCAAAGGAACCAATATGGGTGCTATACTGAGCCAGAAACAAAAAATACTTTACTGTATGAAAAGCAGAAGTTGAACAGGATGAGTATTCGACGAATCACCAGAACTGGTATGAAAAGATCGGTTGATGAAAGGCACTCAGACTTTAGACGTTGACGAATGATATACGCGAACTCCGAATCATCGAGTCGCCCGTCTTATATACTGATGCTCCTGTAATGGATGTCACACATTACAATCGCCGTAACGGCCTTTATCCAGAGTTCCAGAATGGAAGCCACGGGCACCAGGAATGGATTGAGAACGGAAAGTCGACGATGGGAAGGTTGACGGGGGAAAGGGTGGGTTGAGCACGGAAAGTCCGATCCCTGTCGAAGATCCGATCTCCGATGGGAACGTCGCTTGTCAGCATTTAACTGGAATGTCATCGAAAGATGACGCACTTTTT